AAAAAAGCATTACACATTTCTCAAAAGAGAAAACAATTTACCCTACTTTTGCGAGGGCATGATCTTTGGAAGGAAAGAAAGGCGACAATTTTTGTTCCTTATTTGAATTTGTGACAGTAGAAATATATTTTACTGGTAAAAATGATCAGTTGACCTATACTTCTTCCTTTGATCTGGAGATCTCTTTTATGTTAATTATTATCATACAGTATTTCACGATTATATTTCACTTTAACCTGTTAATTTATTACAATTTTTATCACGAGGAAACTAGTTTCTAGGTATGTTAATGTGGAGTGTGGGCGGCTGGGTGTTAACAGTATTTTCTGTATGAAACTCCTCTATTTCTCAACAGATGTGAATAAAAGCATTGATGATTATTTAATACATGTATATCTTTATTTATTTCTTATCAAACAATTTCAAAAATACCATACATACTTGGACTGATTAACTTTCATATAAGTTATAATAACTGACATCAATCAGTATATATTTCTGGAAAAATAAATGATGTTATTCACCAGCTTGAGACATGTGAATGCAGCCAGAAAAATGCTGTTGTCAGCCAGCATAGTTTTCAATGCTAGATGTAAGTCCAAACCCAAGACATACATGTGTAGTTGAAACTAAATTTTAAAGCTATTATCCCATACCAGATAGTTGAACCTTTTTCTGAAAATGAATATATAATGGGCTGTTGCCATGCGTTAAGGCTGTTGACTTCAAAGCACATGACCTTTCCCATTGTGGGTTCAAATCCTGCAAGAGACTTTGGAATCTTTTTAGTGAGAAAGCTATCCAGCTAGCTTACAAAACGGTGATGGTTCTACTTGGGTGCCCGTTCATGCCTGAAATGATACATGGAGGGGCACCTGAGGCCTTTCTCCCTTCCTCCACCAGGAAAAGTGAATATTCGCCATATGGCCTATACTGTGTTCATGCCATGTAAAACCTTACCAAAATAAAGAAAATAAGATTTATGTTTTCAATAGATACAATTACACCACAGGCTTTAGTGCTTACATGAAATTACATGAGTATAATATTTACTAATACTAATAGAAGAAGAATTTTTTTTAGTTTTTGTTACAATGTACATGTATCTTGTTACAGACAAAACACTAGTATAACATGGTTACATCAATCAGATTTTAATATTTTTTTAATAAAGAAAAAATATAATTACTTATTTTAGATCATGGTGTTACACTTTAAGATCATTTAACTCAAATTATTTTATGTTTTAAATATATCATACATGTATTAGATATGATGCTCAAATGAAGAATTATCAATATTGTAAGTTTCAAAAGGCATTATTTGTTAATATATTGCCGAATTTACTTTTCATATAAATAAAGGGAGGTAATTAGAAATTTATTTCGATAAAGTCTAAGCCAATTTTTCAATCAGAACTGAAAACATATATTTTAATGATTACTTATATTGCTTATAAACATTTACAGTTACTGTACATATTAAACATATTCTTGGATGTTTTGAAATTGTTTTAGAAGAATAATTATATACAGATATTAAATTTCACTTAAGTGTTGTTACATCCTGTATTACATGTACAACATACAGGATCTTTAAATAACAATATTGTCAAACCGTGACTAGCAGCGTTGCATGCCATTGTTTAATAGATTTTTACAAATACTCCTTTTTTTCTTTCAATACACATTTGATATGTTTATGATTATTTTTATCTTATCAAAATATCTTACCAACATATACATTACAAGAAGGTCTCTTTTTACAAGTCCTATTAACTTGATGTTTTTTCCGTGACAATAAAGTGTAATTTTGTAAGCAATAAACCATATGTGGACCTAAATTCATTTTATTCATAGAGTGGAGATATTATTCCTGGACTGGTACTAAATGACATTTTATTATGAAATTGACAAACACAAAATGTTATAGATACAATGATATTTAACTTTTTATTTTAGTATTTGTTCTATATATATTAAGTAATATATCTTATACATTCATTGTATAGTCTTTCCATATTTTCTCACTGACAAAAAATAATTGGGCTTTTTTATTGTCTAGATCTATAGAATGTTATTCGGTCATTGAATTTTGTTGAAGCCATGCCAAGTTGTTTTTTTTATGAACTTTATTCAAAGAATATGAACTAAGGTAATTCAGACATACAAATGTGTGGCTGTATCTAATTGTACCTGTGACATTTTTCTGTCATTTTAAGATATTAACTGGTGACATGAACTGATATAATAAATATATGAAGAAGTATAAAAGGCAGACAGATATAGAGTATATTGAATGACTCCTGATTCAATGCTGAATTTATTGTAGTTGTATAATGTTATTTTTTTCAACAAGTTCAATAAATTAAGTAATGAATCTACATAAATATAATATTCTATTTATCATGTGACCAACATTAGAACTGTTTTTATATTGAAAATAATCCTTTTTGTTTGTTACTCACTTGCCTATGTAGTGTACTGTAACGGTAACATTTAGCGCATCTTAACGCTATGTTTGCACGTATTGCAAATGATGTCACGTCAAACTATATGCACGGCCATGCAATTGAGGTTTAACGCAGTCGTGAAAGCGGCACGGGTATGTGATAAATAGAGGATATTGAATGAGTGGAAGTTTTAATACTGTATTTATTGAATTTGTTGAATAAAATAATATTTTGCAGGCCACTGGCATTGATATTAAAGAGGCTCACATATTATTATTTTAATAAAAAAATAATAAAAATAATAAAAAAATAATAAAAAGAATAAGGAAAGTGAAACACACGAAACAAAGTGGGTAAGGTTTCTATAATTTTATTTAAGACCTACGTTTCAGCTATTCAATAGCCTTCATCAGGGTACAGATATATCAGAATTTTTCAACTAAGGTACAAAATAAATTCTGTAATGAACTTACACAAATTTTATATTCTATTCATCAAATACCAAAAATAAAGACTGTTTGTAGTTAAAAAGTACCAGTTTTCATTTACACGCCTATAGTATAACGCTAACATTTGGTGCGTCTTATCGCTATGTTCATATAACTCAAATGACGTCACGTCAAAATATATGCATGGCCGTGCAATACCATTTTTAGGGAGTCGCAAAAAGGGCACAGGTTTGTGATCAATATATTTATTAACAAATTGTTGTACTTTATTATTATATAGTTGCCTTTTGCAATTATAAACTGTGAACTTATTTGTATGCCAAATTTATGAAGTCTTATTTCACTTGTAAAGATGAAATATTCTGTAGGACCTTTATGCACCAGTGTAGTGACCTATACACGGGAATGGAGCGGGGGAAGGGAGTGGGATGGCGGGGTAAACAGGCCAAATGTTTAAACGTTAAATCTTTGAATTATATCATGTGTTTAGCTATTTATAATATTTGATATGTGTGATGTAACAAGATACTGTATTGTATACATTATAAAAAAATAGAATGTCTGTCCTGTTCTGTTTATATTTTGTTTATCACACTGGAAAATACGGTGGATTCGTTTTGGCGCGAAAATGACCTAAAAATCATCTAAATTGCAACACTGGGAATTTAGCCACATGTCTATCTCTGCAGGGTGGGGCATTTACTAGAAGTTTACTCAAAAGTCACCACTTCTTCATCACCCCTTTTTGGTATTTTTGAAATCTTATTAGTTTATTTCTATAGATTGTGAAGAACATTCAGTTATCTTTTTATCACATGTGTTATAGTATGGATTTATGTAATTAACATCCGTGATTATTTAAACTTGTTGAACTGTATTCTTCATTTATATATACATGTTGTATAAATGAATACAAGAATCTGTGTTTATTTAATAAATGACATATTTATGTTAAGAGGTTTATTTTTGTTGTAATTTTTCTTGTATTATAATAGTGAGTCGGAAGAGAAAGACATAACATAATACAATAATATATATATATTCACATTCTTTCCTTTCTTGTAAGTCTTTAATTTCCTCCAATATTTTTTTTCAATGGGTGCAGTTTAAGCATTTGACGAAAAGTGGGGTTATCCTGAAGGATTATACATGTATATATAATTTCATTTTCTATGTGCACATACCTATGCGATAGTTATTATTGGTCATTATCCAAGACCCATAACTTAAAATGAATTTTTGATGAATTATTCGCCTTTTAAATCTTGTAAAATACTTTCAAGCTTTTTGGAGCTAATTTTACTACTCACAACCACCGTGGATTTATATTTGTAATATAAATCCGTGCCACCGATTAATCTTTAAGCGTTAATCTTCTCGCATGACTTTTAATTGTCATAATTGCGGAATACCGACCAAGAACCGTAAACCAAGATATTTTTTTCAAAGAATTATTTACCTTTTCATAAATTTTCTGCATTATCAGGAATGTATTATAATTACATGTACTCTCAAGCATTAAGAATAGTCTAGCATGATGTGTGCTCGTCAACTCTGGTAATGTTGGTCACAATCAGGATGTGTTTTAAGAAATTTTAAAAGCTTCTGATTTTAAGTTAATTGGGGCCACTTTTGCTTAATGACTGTTACTCTTTCACACTAATTTCATAGTTATACAGTATATATAATATAGCATGTCAAACTCACTAGAGTTGATTAAGGTGTTTTTTTGTCTGTCTGTCTAAATCTATGAGTAGGTTGGTTCGGGTCCTACTGGGGTCATGACAACGTGACCTCACATACATTCTTTAAAATTCTTATTCATAATCAATCTTCAATAAATATGATTTAAACTACTTAGATTATATATAGGTGAAATACTGGCCATTTTAATTTGTTTACTGCATGCTTAACGCAGGAACGCTGTAATATGAGACTGCATTGGGCATCGTTAAAGAGTCTGAAACAGTTACACTAGCGTACATCATTCAAGACAGTGAATAATTTTCAAACAATTTTATTATATCAAATGTAACAAAAACATTTTAAAATATGTTGTATCACGTGACTTCGCTTGTTATTTATGAAATATAATCATAATGACTGAGAACGAGAGCTGAGGCGATACAATCCACATCACATTAACCACTTCAGCACAACATTTACCACTTCAATACAATATTTACCACTGCAGCATAACATTTACCCCTGCATCACAACATTTACCACTGCAACACAACATTTACCACTGAATAACACCGCCGTCATACGCTATCAGTTTTCCAGCGCTTTCCTTGTTCAATTTTTGAAAGACATTAATCATTCCTTGAACGCTATCCTGTTTGGTTAGTGAAGCATTGGCCCCGCCCATGTCAGTTTGAACCCACCCGGGATGTATGCTAACGGCAAGTATACCTTGTGGAGATAGCTCTATGCATAGATTCTTAGTCAGCTGATTTAATGCTGCCTGAAAAACACAAATTTTATAACGATATATTCATTTTACTCATTAAGTATACTTTACCAGATCGGGTCAACATGTTCTGTTTGAAACATTTCGCCAACTGGATCAGTCAGTTATATTGCGTGAACGTTTTTTATGGCTGATATAATTCTATGTTCAATAGGGAAAAATGCGGGTCGTGTTAGAATTATACATATACACATTAGACATTCTTAGAAATCAAGGAAAAAAGGTTGTAGCTTTGGACGCAAACATTATTTTTACGGTTCTTAAAATAATCTTTGAATATAATCGATTCTTCGGCCTTGAACAATAAAAAGTTGACTAAAAATATTCTACATGTCATAAAATTATATATACTGAAAGAAAAAAGTTTAGCAAGTTTTTCACACCTATTATTTTTTCTTTTTGAGCTTTTGAATGAAAACGTTTTTATATGTAAATGATGTACTTATCGATGCTCTTTACACATCTATTGTGTTTGTTCGAAAACCGTGTATTTTATCAGCGAAGCGTAAGAAACTCGAAAATCACGTGCAACGTAAGCACGGCAATTTCGGTTGCGTGTAGAGTCGAGTAATGTACCTCATTGTTTTGAGCTGTTACCACAAACAAAATAACCAGTTTAAAACTCGAAGAAATTCCAATGGGGAGTCGCCAAGGAATGACGTTAGAAGAACGTCCAAGAGCTGTAGGTATGCTCCACGCTGGTATGACGGCAAGAGCTGTCGCTCGGCATTTCAATCGCCATGAGTCTACAATTAATCGCCTTAGAAACCGTCTGAGGCAAACAGGACGAGTCAAAGACAGACCCAGATCAGACAGACCACGGAAAACAACGCCACGCGAAGACCGTCACATCACGACGCTTTCTCGACGTAACCGGTTTATGTCCAGTGGGAAGATAGCCCGAGATCTCATGAATACTACTGGGACAAGGGTGTGCCTCAGAACTGTGAGAAATAGGCTTCGCGTGGCAAGGCTAAAGGCGTGTCGGCCTTACGTCGGGATTCCTTGTGAATTTTGACGCCTTACCCATAACGTCTTTCAGGCTCTACAGTGAGCTAAGACAACAGGGTTTTGACAATTTATTGTTACAAACTAATTGAAAACTAAATGCTTTATTCAATTATGTACTTGGTTTAAGTCAAATTGGTATAGTTTCAATAAACCAGTGAAATATTTCCGAACTTGCTAAACTGTTTTCTCTCAGTATATATATAATTTTATATATAATAATATATCATAACTTAAATCAAATTCTTTAAATCTGTTTAGTCGGATTATGGTTTTACCCTCCGGACAGTAAGTCACTTTGAAGTCACAGCACAGTTCAGTCACCTGTCCTGGGCAGACTGGCAATCAAATTACTAAGACTAGTGCCATCACTTTCGTACGGAACTGATATTACTTTTGTACATGTCATACCAGAAGTACAGTGCGAATGACCGTAGAAAGGATTTCATTATCAATCGCATCGAAAGTGACAAGAACTGTCCGGGAATCAAAACCCATGCACAGTATGTATGTAGTCTATGTTAAATGAGGGTCTATCTGCCCGATAAGGCACACACAGCAGTTTTCGCTGTTGAACACGGACCCCTGACATGTCACCAGTCATGCCCTTAAAGGTTTAATTTTGAAACACAAAGTGGTGACAACACCCCCATTCGGAACAAGCGACAAATATATATATCACATTGAAGGTCACATGATATGTCACATGACGTTATACATGTTATACCAATAGACTAACCTTTGATTCCCTATACTGATAGTATGTGCCGACTACATTACTCCCTATGGATCCCAATATACTTGATATATTTAAGATGGCGGCTCGTGACCAGCTTAATTTTCCGTCTCCCTGACCGGCAGCTTGCTTTAGTAACGGCAGGAACGTCTTAGTAATAAATTACAATGAAATTTATATCAAAGTTACATGAAAATATCAACGGAATTTATATAAAAGTTACATGAAAATAACAATTGAATTCATATCAAAGTTATATAAAAAAAATAACGCGTGCACTGAAATTTTTTCTAAAATTATTTAATAACATCGTCCACAATACTACATTTCAAAAAATGATTAAAGAGTAACACGATTCTTACAATTATATTGCAAAATTAGTGCAAATGACAATGTATTTAATAAGAGGTACAAAAGGCAAGTTTGTTTAATGTATGAAATGAAACATTAGGGACCAGAAATGTCCGGTTATGATGAACTTCTGACAGATACGAACAAGAAAAGCATTGATGCAAAGCATCAAAGGGCGTCCAAACAGCAGGTGCAGATGAACTAGTAGATATATGATGACAAGATATTCTTATAAACTTTTCAATGGTTCATTGGGTTTTACCAGAATTGTATATCACTTTTGAATGAACGGACGAAAGACATTGTTCATTATTTATAACTTTGATCGGCATGCTAGAAATTAGAATATTACTTGTTATTTCTTTATGATCGTGGTTATTAATAGCAACGGATATACATGTATACAATCATTTATAATCCATGTGTAACGCATGATCAACACCATACTTGTGTAATTGTCCCTTATTATGTTATTGCTATTAACGAGGACCCCCTCTTAAGGTATCTGTTCACACTAAGTAACAATATGACACTTGTTATATTACCATGTTGATCATGTTGAGCATAATTGTTTATTATACAATAAATGTAATTTCTATTTTAATAAAAAAAATACAGATTTTATGAATATTGTTTTCTTTTCTTTTTTTGTGTGTGTTTTATGCGCTATTTTAATACTGAGTTTTTACGTTAACTACTATTTTAAGAATTCAATTGTCATAATGATCGACGATTATAAGTCAAAACTTAACTGGAAAAAGTCAGTAAATCATGGTTAATCTTTCAATTTATAATATTGTTTATTCTTAAACCATATACATGTACATTTGTATTTTTCTTTATCATTTTTTAAATTATCAATCAATTGAATAATTCATAAAATCTGATTTGTAACTTTGAATAATTCCTCGGAATCTTTACTAAACACGAATAACAAATTATATAAAATGTTTTAAAGTTGATAGTGTCATATTAATGCCATAAAAATGTACATTTTTTCTCAATTATTGTACATATTTATTGTTTTTATCTCATATAGATAAAATATAACATGCGATTTGTGTTGTTGGTTTTTTTTTTTCGAATTGTCTGTTTATGTATAATAATAATCAATCAATTCGAGAGTTGATCTGTGTTTATTAATTATTGTAACCAAACTAAGTGACAAACATTCATTTTGAAAAAAGCTTATTTATCTGTAAAATATTTGTTCTGTTCTGTAACGATATCTACTCCAAAACCGGGAGAGACCGGACAATAAACGTGTGGTACTATTCGCCGGTCATTAGTAAATCCCGGGAGAGACCGGGAATTACCTAGGAGTACATCCCTCTATAAATAGATTTTCGGAATATTAAGGTCATCAACTCATCATTCTATTAACAGCTTTCGGAATAACATACCATAATAACCCACTGTGTACTACAAAATGATAAGCAAAAATACCCCGAAGAGCGCGATTTATTGACGGAAAAGGTTATTTCATTTGAAAATGTTTGCATTGCGAAATTCTCCAGTTCGCCATTCATTGTACATATCGCGACTAATTAACAATCAAGCACACTCATACCGATCGGAATGATCGGCTTTTATTATTGGCAACTATAAAAGGCTCGAGAAGTTGCTGTCGCCCTTTCACAAAATCTCATTTCATTCCAATAGGCGCCGCGCTTCGGCGCGGACGCCAATTAGCAAGATTGTCTATATGCTGGCATCACCTCTATAGAAAAACAACAAAAACAAAAACGTTAACAGTTCCTATGATAAAGACTAAATCTTCTCCCCGTTAAGCAGGCGCGTTGGATGATTTTTTTTTTACCAAATTGTAGTTTGTGTGACCGTCTGTATATAATGTAAAATGATAACAATTCTCACATCAGATGTAGTACGTTTTAGTAAGTGCAAAGGTCTAGTCATCTAAAAAATTATCTTGCGCGTCACATGATAACGATATAACAGTAGAATGGGCGAAAATTAAGAAACAAGAGGGCCATGATGGCCCTAGATCGCTCACCTGACTTATCAAACTCATCCAAACAATTACATAGACAAGCATTCTGACCAAGTCTCATGACAGGTGAGTCAAAAATGTGACCACTACAGTGTTAACAAGGATTATCCATATTTTAGCAGTGCGACCTAGTTTTCTTACCCAGGTGACATATATTCAAACTTGACCTAGAAATCATCAAAACAAACTTCCAGACCAATTTCCAGGATACTTTGATCAAAACAGTAGCAACTAGAGTGTTAACAAGATTTTTCTATTTTTTGCTCCGGTGACCTAGTTTCACATGCGATTTCGAACTCATCCAAGCAATTACCTAGACAAGCATCCTGGCAAAGTTTGATGATAATTGAGTCGAAAATGTGACCACTATTTGGGCGGTGTGACCCAGTTTTTCATCCAAGATGACCCATGTTCGATCTTGACTTAGAAAACATCAAAACAAACTTTCAGACCAATTAACAAAATATTTGGATCACAACAGTAGCCACTAGAGTGTTAACATGATTTTTCCATTTTTAGCTCCTGTGACCTAGTTTTTCATCCGAGATGACCCATGTTCGATTTATTCCAAACAATGACATAGACAAGTTTCCTGACCAAGTTTGTTGACAATTGAGTTAAAATTGTGACCACTAGAGTGTTAACAAGGTTTTTCTATCTTTAGCTCCCGTGACCTAGTTTTTCATACGAGATGACCCATGTTCGAGCTCATCCGAGCTATCACCTAAACAAGCATCTTGATCAAGTTTGATGATTGATGCAAAAATGTGACCGCTAGAGTGTTAACAAGGTTTTTCTATTTTTAGCTCCGGTAACCTACTACTTTTTCATCCGAGATGACCCATGTTCAAACTCATCCGAGCTATCACCTAAACAAACATCTTGACCATGTTTAATGATGATTGAGGCAAAATTGTGACCTCTAGAGTGTTAACATGGTTTTTCTATTTTTAGCTCCGGTGACCTAGTTCTTCATCCGAGATGACCCATGTTCGAACTCATCCGAGCTTTCAACTAGGCAAGTATCTTGACCAAGTTTGATGATGACTGATGCAAAAATGTGACCTCTAGAGTCTTAACAAGGTTTTTCTATTTTTAGCTCCGGTGACATACTTTTCCATTCGAGATGACCCATGTTCGAACTCATCCGAGCTATCACCTAGACAAGCATCTTGACCAAGTTTGATGATGATTGATGCAAAAATGTGACCGCTAGAGTGTTAACAAAGATTTTTCTATTTTTAGCTCCAGTGACCTACCTTTTCATCCGAGATGACCCATGTTTGAACTCATCCGAGCTAACAACTAGATAAGCATCCTGACCAAGTTTGATGATGATTGATGCAAACAATTGACCGCTAGAGTGTTAACAAGGTTTTTCTATTTTTAGCTCCGGTGACCTTTCTTTTTCATCCGAGATCACCCATGTTCGAACTCATCCGAGCTATCACCTAGATAAGCATATTGATCAAGTTTGATGATGATTGATGCAAAAATGTGACCGCTACAGTGTTAACAAGGTTTTTCTATTTTTAGCTCCAGTGACATACTTTTTCATCTGAGATGACCCATGTTCGAACTCCTCCGAGCTATCACCTAAACAAATATCCTGACCAAGTTTGATGATGATTGAGGCAAAAATGTGACCTCTAAAGTGTTAACAAGGTTTTTTCTATTTTTAGCTCTTGTGACCTAGTTTTTCATCCGAGATGACACTTGTTCGAACTCATCCGAGCTATCAATTAGATAAGTATCCTGACCAAGTTTGATGATGATTGAGGCAAAAATGCGACCGCTAGAGTGTTAACAACTAAATGAGAACGGACGACGGACGACGGACGGACGGACGACGGACGACGGACAATCATCGATCATAAGAGCTCACCCTGAGCATGCTCAGGTGAGCTAAAAACGTGACAAATGTTTGCTATGAAAAAGTGTCACTAAGCCTGGTAAAAAAAGCCTCACAAGTAATGCAAGTTTACTAAATGGTAATATTCTCAGTTTTAAATATACGAGTATATATAAAACACATCCTACCTTTGTTATGATAGCAGGTCCGACCACGTTTACTTTAAGAGTTTTAAGAAGATCCTCGGCGTTTATATCAATAATTGATTCCTTCTTCAAGTTGATTGCAGCGTTGTTAACTAAAACATTTAATCCTGGTGAACCGACCAGGTCACGTGTTTCTTTAAAGGCGGATTGAATACTATCTTCATTTTCAGCATCTACAACATTATTCTTCATTATTATTCTTTGTAAATGATAAACTACCACTGCATTGTGATAAAAACTTAAAGATAATGAGGCTTCTGATTTATATAAATGATAATCAATGTCAGGGTATTTCTACCCGTTATTTTCCCCGGATAATTGCGGTGAATAATGGGTTAATTATTAGCAAATTTTGGAGTAAACATTAATAATATTTCTGCATAAGGTTTACTAGATTTAACACGGGATGGTATCTTTTAAAAGAGATAGATATTAAAACATCGCTAGGATGACTGCCCCTATAAAGTTGATGCTAGATTAGAGGCAAGAAAGTTAAGATCACCTATCGTCAATACTGATCAATAATTTGAATGTCACTGCACTTAAGATATTTATTAAAACTTTATTGCACAGTTTGACATACTCGTATTTATGAATAAATAGTTATAAATGTTTTAAACAATTAATAGAAAATTTCTTTATGGTTAATAGTTAATGCATGAAATGAATGAAACAGGAATGAAAACTCACCCATCTGTAATATTTTCACGCATGGATACCTCTTAGACAACGACTGTAATTCCTGGATAATGAATTATAATATTATATCATAGATTAAAATTTCAGAGCTAAAATAAAAAGATAATTTCACTATGGACTGTTGGTAACGGATCCGTGGTCGACCTCCAGTAGTAACACGAGCCGAAACTAGTAATCTACAGTGCCACAGGTTCGATCCCACGCTCCACCATTAAACACTTATCATGGTAATTCTACCATAAACTTCCGGATGATATCTTAAAACTTGAGTCCCATGTATAAGAACTATACACTGGGCATTAACAAATGGACTTCAATTTGATGTTCAACAACAATGAGAACTTTGTGTTTAGGTGAGCAAAATTTAAAAATATTTGAAGAAAACCTCTACAATTTACCATTTGCGATTGAATCTACTGTTTTCATTATCTTATAACTAATTCTGTGATAGAATCTACTGTTTTCATTATCTTATAACTAATTCTGTGATAGAATCTACTGTTTTCATTATCTTATAACTAATTCTGTGATAGAATCTACTGTTTTCATTATCTTATAACTAATTCTGCGACAGAATCTACTGTTTTCATTATCTTATAACTAATTCAGCGATAGAATCTACTGTTTTCATTATCTTATAACTAATTCATTTCATTTGCATATTTTAACGCAATGTAAGTTATCAATTTTTCTATAAACAGTCATACGCAAAGTTATACGCAAAGTCGCGCCTGGTAAATGATAGAGCTACCTCTTTCGGGGGTATACGGTAAATCGCTCTACCGCTACTTACCAGCTAGTGCATGTCGCTAAAATCAAGTGTCAAGAGTTTTAATTTTTTATATATTATGTAAACTCTTTACCAAATATCGAAATTCGGAGAATCCTATGCCATGTAGATATGATTAAAGATTCCAGAAAACGTAAAGTTTTATAAAGTTATTATCGTTTTATTTTTCTAGTCATTTGGGATCATTGATGCCAGCACTATTAAGTGTTGGGAATTGAGTACAGCTCAAGCCGGTGCTAGGGGGCGTGAGGGATTTTGCACATATTCATTATCCCTCATGTACAGACACAATCAAACCGAGTCTGCAATTCTCCTGTAATTTTGTTGTGATTTATACTTGCGAGGGATCACTTTGCTTCCGGATTTTTATACTTCACAGCAGCATGTGTCAAGTGCAGTGTGGCAGCTGTAAAAAGTTGCCCCGTACTTGACTTCAGTGTTGAAATATTTTTCTGGTCTTTCGGGATCATTGATGCCAGCACTATTAAGAGTTGAGAACTGAGTACCGCTCAAGCCGGTACCAGGGGACTAGAGGGATGTTGCACATATTCATTATCCCTCATGTACAGACTCGATAAAACCGAGTCTGCAAATCTCTTGTGATTTTGTTGTGATTAATGCTTCCGAAGGACTACTGATCACTTTGCTTCCGGATTTTTATACTTCACAGCAGCAGGTGTAAAGTGCTGTGTGCCAGCTGTAAAAAGTTGCCCCGTACTTGACTTCAGTGTTGTAATATTTTTATGGCTTTCGGGATCATTGATGCCAGCACTATTAAGTGTTGAGAATTGAGTACCGCTCAAGCCGGTGCTAGGGGGCGTGAGGGATGTTGCACATATTCATTATCCCTCATGTATAGACTCAATCAAACCGAGTCTGCAATTCTCTTGTAATTTTGTTGTGATTGATGCTTCCAAGGGCTTACTTTGCTTCTGATTTTTTAGCATTGTGTTTGAAATGTAGTTGTGGCGGCGCTTCCCAATTAGCGTATTCAGCGTTGAAATGGACAGTTTCATCATGAAACAGGATATTTTCCCTCCAGTGTTCATCTAAACAGCGATTCAGAATAAAGACAAATAGATTTAAAGTAGTAGATATAAGGCATAGAAATAAAATAAGGTTGAAATCAGATTAAAATAGTAGTTAATAAATAAAATATAAGATATTTGTTCTGAGAGACAGCTCTGTCGTGAAGAAGGTAGTCATGCCATCAAGGAGATAACTCTATGGTTACGCGCAAAGTGTCTTATTGATTGTGTATATTTTATTCATGATATTTACCTTGGCACAAAAATAAAAAAAAACAATAAAAAAAAAACTATTACTTCGGATAATGTCGACACTGATGTAATATTGACACCTTCTTCCGTTTCCTTATTATATTTACAATAAAGCACATTTTTCTACTTGATTTAAATCAATTTTACGATGTCAGAACTATATGTGACGTCATCTTTTAGGCAATCTTCCTTTCCAAGAAATTTCCAGTCTAGATGTCATTGCTCGTAATCTTATCCGAAAAAACGCCATTTACAGCATCTTATAAGAAGGGTCGATAACTCAGGCACATAACTTTACCATCATTTCGTATTTTTGTTTTGGTTTCGATGCAAATAAACCTTTAATATGAATGTTATGAACATTTACCCTTGCTTTTATTCACAATTATAAGACAATTGTACAGAGGTGTCGAAACTGAACAACTTATCTTCGCTATCGGCCAATTTCGACACATATTCATAGAAATATTAAAACTTTAAATTCACAATAGTAACTAGCCCTACATAAATAATTCAAATATGTTAATTTAAAAACAAAACACATTATGTTATTTTAATTTCAAGTTGCCAAACTGCAGAACGCTATCCATAATTTCCAACGCTGTATTATCATTACAAACTTGACTTCATCAAATTGAACTATGCATTGAAACTAACATTAAGATTTAGCATTATCAGATCTTTATAAATCCTTTGATCAATTGCCTTTGCAGTCTGCTAACCCTGTATTTTCTTCTGACACATATATCCCTGTACACTGTCATAAGCATTGAGTAATCTGCTCGTCCTATGCCGTTTCCTTATCCTGTCTCGTCTACTGACAATGAGTGACAAAGGTATCCCGACTTCTGACGTGAGGATTAGTTATATCTGCTGCTCGCCCTAGGTCCTCTATTATCTTTGGACAAAAGTTACTTTCATAATTACTGAGACGTCTGCTAGTCCTGTATTGTCACAAATGATGGTGTCACAGACGAATTAGTATACTTTAATTTCGTTATAATCAAGTATGATTGCGCCGACATATGATGTAGATGTAGAAAAGATGGCATTTTCATGTACAGGCGAACCAATGATTTTGAAGTTGCCTCTTGAGTAAGTGATAAACATACACCTTTGTTTATAAGTTTTTGTCAGGTTTGATAATTGATGGTCAATGTCTGTACTAAATAGCGCAATATATTTACTTCAAATCATTGCAAAAGCAATTGCAGGTAACGTTCTTATCAATCAAATATGTATTCATGCATGTATTGTACTTGAAAGAATATTATTATGAACCTATCAGAACTTATAAGAAACGTGATTTATACTTCGAAAATTAATTATTTTATCATCAAATTCTTTAATTAGTTTCAATTGCCATTTTTTTTTGTCTTATATCAAACAATTGCAATTATATTTAATGAGTAAATATCTTTTTATAAATCTTTATCTAATTGCACAGTAAAACAAATAAATGTTTGATGTTCGCCTTTCATTTAAAAAAATTGGAGTCTATGTCGAAATTAGACGAAACATGTCGAAATTATACGACGATATCTATGGTCGTAAGTGAGATCTTGCAAATCAAACAAGACATTCTTGTTCGTATACATAATCAAGAAGTACTCCGAAAATGTTAGTTTCAATCGACACCTAAACTTTAGTGAGGAAAAGTCTTAAAGTGTCGAAATTACCCAATGTTAATGTAATCATGACGTAATTTGCATTATAAAACATTAATATTTACAGCGTTCAAATTGTTATGGACTCATTTTTTTCCACTGTACATAACTTTTACTTTGTAGCATACTGTAGTATCTATACTTGTGTAATATTAAGGTGATTCCGCTTTGTCAGCCATGTTTGCTTTCACAAAGTCTGTACAAAGTGAAAGTAGGCCAAAATTCATATAACAACAAAGCTCACATTGTTATATGATGAGCCATTTCCAAGTACACTTACAGTTCTATGTTTTAAAGACTATTTTAAACAAAAAAATAAATGATAACAATAAGAAAATTTACCTTCAATGGGCTAAATTTCTGAAGACCAAAAACATTCTGTTGCAAAGTTAAATGCACATTTCATGAATGGCAAAATTATTTTTTAAAGTCTGTTTTAGTGCCTACAAAAGCTGTTTTTTGCAGAAAGTACAAAAAAAACTTTTAAAAACATAAATCTTAGGAAAGTAGTTGATCTGACCTTGAAAAAACATTGCCACCATGACATGTGTAAAAAAAGTAGTACCATGAAAATAAACATCATTTACTTATTTATTGTGTACATCACAAACAGACACACTTCACTGTTACACATAAAAAGGTTAGATTTTAAAGTTTGATTGTGTATTCATTTTAATTGTAGTTCATAAGGCTATAAATGATGATTGTTTTCATGCACTACTTTTTGTACAAAAAATGGAGGCCATGTGCTTATGGGGACATGAGATTCAGATTTATTTGGAGTTAAGTTTTGAAAGATTTTTGTATTTGCTGCAAAAAATAGCTTTTGTAGGCACTTAAACAGACTTTAAAAAGGATTTTGCCATTTATGAAATGTGCATTAAACTTTGCAACAGATTGTTTTTGGTCTTCAGAAATGTAGCACATTCAAGGTAAATATTCTTATTGTTATCATTTTTATTTTTGTTTATAATTATCCTTTAAATATAAACGTGGAAGTGTACTTTCAAATGGTTCATCATTTTACAATGTGAGCTTTGTTGTTATATGAATTTTGGCCTACTTTCACTTTGTACAGACTTTGTGAAAACAAACATGGCTGACACAGCGGAATCACCTTAAATGAAGTATCGAATCTGCCCAAATTCAATATCCTTTTAGTTTATACATATACAATCACTTTTTCCAAGTTATATTAAGAACTTAACTTAGAAGTACATGATAAAATTTTAACTTTTCGTACAGAACTTACAAAACACATATACATAGAAAATATTTGTCCGTTTCAGATGAATGCATTTACATCGTGTAGATCAAGACACGAGTAGTTTTGCTAATATGTCGTATACACCGAATATTAAAATCCATAATGTAATACATGTATATACGATATTGTATTTTAAGATACGAGGAAATTCAAAAGTCATATCGAAATTCTCACGAATGATCTTGAAAAATAAACATTGTCATGGAAATATTTTTCATGGTGTTTAAATTATAATGTCTCAGCTACCGTATCTTTAAGTTTCAAAAACTAAAGATATTCGCTCATTTTCTTTCCGAAGTGCTCGTTTCGGCCATAGAATTGCACACTTCTGCATTACTTTTTCGCAATGCCTGGTTATTTGCACAAGACTGGTCTCAACCCGGTACGGAATTAGACCCATTCAGTTGTAGTCTAGAAAGTAGGTGTTTTTTTTTTTAATTTTGAAGTGGCCCAATTTAAGTCATCTCTAGTTAGATTTGGCCTAATTAAAGTGTATTTATTGCATTTGTGTAGTTTTTGTGTGTTAAAATTATTGTTGTTTTTTGTGTATTCTCCAGGAACTCATTTGTTTGCGGAAGGATAAAAGATGTACTACCCACCAATTGTCAGGTGTTTTTAAAGTGGTGAATTTAAACAGTGTTACAACAGAATGAAGATTCCTGAAAAAAGTAGATGGCTAACCTATTATATTTTGGGCCTCATTGGACCTCATTAGATAGTGTTAATGTTTTAAGTTGAAGACAGTATATAATTCATCAAGAACAGTGGAATCCAGAATTAAGCGTCAAATGTGACTGATTTACTGTAGAACAAATGGTACGAAAATTCAACGGGCCGAGTCCACTGCGTTACTGGATATTCAATGAGTTTAACGGAAAAAAATACTATCTGGAAACAATGTAGATACTAGCACTTTAGCTGAAATGGCAATTAACTTGGCATTTTAAATAGAGAAAAACATCTTCTCAGAAACTTTTAAAAGCAAGTACACCAAAAGCTGAATAAATATTTCTTGTCGCAACTATTGCATTCATATTTCTATTTCTTTCTTTATAATTATACCCGTTGTATCGACATGCTAAAGATCTTTTTCACCGAAAACCTTTAACATGCTTTGCACATATCATTTTTGGTCCCTTTTGAAACAATAGCGACATGACTACCTCCTTCACGGCAGAGCTGTCTCCCAGAACAAATATCCTATATTTTCTTTATTAACTAATGTTTTGATCTGATTTTAATCTTATTTCATTTTTAGACCTAATATCTCCTTGAAGCATATTTGTTTTTAATCTGAATCGCTGTTTAGATGAAAATTGGACGAAAAATAATTTGTTTCATGATGAAACGGTCCATTTCTACGTTGAATTCGCTAACTGGGAAACGCCGCCACAACTACATTTCGAACACAATTCTAACAACTTTACGTTTTCTGGAATCTTTTATAAACTCTACATGGCAAATCATTCTCCGAATTTCGATATTTGGTATAGAGTTTACAAAATATATATAAAATGAAGACACTAGACACTTGATTTTAGCGACATGCACTAAATCGGAAGTAGCGATAGAGCGATTTAACGTATACCCTCGAAACAGGTAGCTCTATCATTTACCAGGCTTGAAAGTGTTTCGTGAAAATTTAATAAAGCGTGAGAACTGTATAATAGCAATTGAAATATATGCAATGTTAAAATACGGAAACATGTTGGGGCCATCTAAAATTTCGCAAGATTCGATTAACTACCAGTCCGTGCATATACATATTAAACATATAAATAGATTACATTCTACTAACCTACTTATCTATTGGGATACGAGATTTAAACATGAATAGTCTACTGTATGTATCTGTCTTGTGATGAACTCAGTCAAAACATAGTAAAGTAATGAATAAATGGTTACAATCCAATTACAATTGAGTGTTACATCACACTTTATCTATTCTGTTACTAATGGAACAAGATCTCATATTTTGTAAAAATTACGTAGAATAATTTGAAAAGATAAAGTATCGAAGAAAAATGTAACAGTTTGAGTCATGCCAATTACCAGCGTTTCGTACTTTTGCCCTTTCGACCCACGACACGTAACATTGTGTGTGTGTGTGTCATAGATCATGCACGAAAGTAATTATGTAAATATAGATATATGAATATTCCCCCTACCTGAGCGGTTTCCGGATTTCTGCATGCTGCAAGTATAAGTGTTGTAGATGGTGCAAGCTTGGCTAACTGGGTAACTAGCTCAAGACCTATTCCTCGGCTACTTCCGGTTACAAAAATATTACTCGGAATCACCATTTCTAATATACTATTAGTGAATACGGAAATGAATGCTTACAAAAACGAGAGTTCCAATTTATGACAGTTCAAATGACTTAATATACTGTGTTTATCCAGGTAGCGAATGCTAACTAATTCGTTATCAATGATAAAGGTCAAAAGGTAGATCATATAGTGACAAATTATATGCTTGTGCATAATGAAGTCAACCATTAAATACTTATTAATACGATATATTCACATGCCTCGAGTTAACTAGAATTTAAAGATCAGGATTAAACTTATAAGTAAAAGAAATCTCCACTGTTCTCATAAATTTATTAGGTAAAAATTTACTTAAATAAAAGTGGACTTGAATGAAATATTATGTTTATATGAAATTTCAAAAAAAAAACTAAACACAACATTTCATTATTACTTTACAAGATATGAACGTTTTACATTTGATCCAAATATAGATATTGATCCTTCTGTTGATTCGTTTATTTTATGTAAGTATTATTATTTCTCACTAGTCTTTTATCCGGAAATATGTTTCTTTCTTTGCGATTCAGCAAGTTTTTACAATTTGTGTATGTGCCATTTTATTTTAGCCTACACCTATCAAATTTAGTATTATACAATTATAGTACTATAAAGCCTTGAAAATACAATTGGGATCATTTGATCATTATCCAAATTATTTTTTTATATTAATAGGCAGATAATCAATTTTGTTCTTTGAGTCGAAATCTCCACCTTCTTTAGTGATTTACCTTAATGCAGGGGCAGTTTTGTATTGCTAAGGTTTGCCTAGAACAATCTGACATGAGTTAAATAAACACTCTATGGCTATTGTCATTATTTTCTGTACTGCAAATCTGTTACCATCAGCTGAGACTGTTTCATGTTATTTGTTATATGAAGGTCGGCGGTTTGTTTCTATAACTATTTTAACACCATACTGCGGCTGTCTAAATCATCAGTACAATATAATTCGAAACTTTTTTATTAATAAATTTCCATTCACAAACGAATGTGTTTTTTTTTCACGATCAATAGTCAGTATATTAATCATTTAAATGCCAATCAATCCTTATAAATTGTTTTGTATTATTTCTTAAAATGTTTAGAGCCGTCCGGTTAGCTTAACAGGTAGTGCGTTGGACTGTCAATCCTAGGCGGTGCAGTTCGTTTTTCGTTGTGATTGATCATGAAATTCTTTCTACGGTCATTCACACTGTACCTCTGCACTGGCATGTACAGAAGTGTCAGTACCTTGCGAAAGTGAAGACAACTAGTACTGGTAATTGCTTGATAGCTTGGCCATGAACGGTGCGGTGGCTGAACTGTGTTCTGGTAAATTCAATGTGGCTTTCTGCCGTGATCCTGAGTGAAAACTACCATTAGTTTACCACCACCACTTAAAATGTTTTTTTCGTTTTTATGTCCTGTTACAGTGTTCAGAATGTCATTAGCTGAACAATCTTTAGTTCTGTTGCGTTTAGACAATTTGAACAGACAGTTAGTGATTTAGAGTTTTATATTGAAGTCAAAATACCACTTTGTTTACATTTGACAAACTCTATAAAACATTATATCACATTCAAAAAAAAAAAAAAAAAAATGAACAGAAAAAGAAAATCACACAGAAGCAAAATGCATTCATTTCTGAAGCTTAATGCGCCTTTAAAAGCACTTTTATTTGTGCTAACCGATTTTTTTTTATTTTGTTACAATACAAAGACAATATCTGCGCACGTCAGGGTGATAACCGGGTCTTGTTTCATGTAAATATTTATATTACTGTTAAAGCAAACAGATTTCACTTCGCCTACATAGAAATTTGAGAATCTAGTGTATATCACGCTTTCATAAGCATGTTTTAATTAAGCCCATTCGTAACATTTCGGCCCTTTCCGTCTCTTACCGGTAACAACGATTGTGCATAATACTTTAAATAACCAGGTACACGATCTTCAAAAGTGACGTCATAATTAACAACAATAACAACAATATAACGACAATAGTGCAGAAAGAACAAAATCAAGTAGTAATTACATGTGACCTGCAACGCCAGCCCCGGGGTTATAAAACTGATGTTCATTTTTCTGACCATCAAATACGTTTCAGATGAGAAAATATCTTTGATATTAACCTTTCGCCGTGTAACAAAAAAAAACAGTGAAGATAAAAATCATATAGCCCAATTCTTTACATACAGAATGATACAGAAAGATTCCCCGATCCCTGAAGCTCTTCTTGTATCTTTAGCGAGCACTTAAATCGTACAAGGGACATCGATTAGTAATGTAAGTTGGCCAGCTCGGGAATCGAACCCACAATCTCGAGATTACAAGTCTCGCGCTCTAACCGTATGAGCTATGCAGGTTGGCTTGACATCCGTGCAGACTGACGAAACTCTTTAATTACTGTTTGCGGCTAATTTCTTGTAGTTTATTGCAGAGGTATCTTCAACTAAACGTTCAATGTAGGACAGGGAATTCAGGGAACAGCCGGATCATCGTCGCTTACCCACGGTATATATTCCGTACAAACAACATTATCTAGATAATGGGAACGGATCTGTTATCAAAACAATGATAAAAATACTCATATTGGATTGCAGATATTGTCAAAAATATTCCGCTTCGAAGGCCAAATTTTAAAATGGTTTGTATACTATTTGCATTAATTAAAGATATCGACACAAATAAACAAGTAATTGTCCGTTATTAAGTCCTCTGTATTTTAAAACTTATAAATAACAGGTTTGTTACGGGGAAATCGATCAGAAAAAAGAATGTTATTGAAGAATCATATCATTTTTACTAGTAATGCTGTGTCAGCATAAAATATCATTAACGTGTCAGTGGGAATGATAAAGCAATATTATCTACACCATCTACATATTTCATGTACAATCCTGAGTTTGCACATTTTTATATAAGCTCCTTCACCCTGTCTAACAGTTACAACAATGTGCCGGATCAGTCACGTATTTTTTCAACAACAAAAAAAACCCCAGGCGGCTTTGACTCTTTTCGGCTGAATGTTTTTAATGTATTTTAAAACTATTATAAAGAATGGCAACTGATAGAAAATATCTGACAGAATTTTTGATACACGGTGTTTCCCTCGAAATCTGAAGCACTTAAAGCATGAAATTTGTAAGTAGGATAAACAACGTAGACAGGTTAGGGATACTTTGACCTCCGATACTTCCTGTTAGCAATATTTCTAACACAACCGCCAGAAATAACATAACGAGTCATTTGAAAATGAGTATTATTCCAAAACAATATATATTTGAGCCGCGTCACGACAAAACCAACATAATGGGTTTGCGACCAGCATGGATCCAGACCAGCCTGCGCATCCGCGCAGTCTGATCAGGATACACGCTGTTCGCTATCAGTTTCTCTACTTGTTATAGGGTTTGTAAGCAAACACCATGGAGCCTGATCAGACTGCGCGGATGCGCAGGCTGGTCTGGATCCATGCTGGTCACAAACCCATTAGGTTGGTTTTGTCATGGCGCGGCTCATTTGTATTACTATTATGTTTAGTAATGTGGCGTGGCTGTAGCGTCTATTCCTCTTGTAAACGTGATGAAGACAATTTCACATTCTCATACACCAAGGTGCATTATTTTTAGAACTCAAATTTCTACACATAAAATAACAAATTTTCTTGACAACACGGCCGTCTATCTACACTATTTCAATAATGTGATAACCTAAAACGATCGCTTAAATGATGGAAGCACTGAAAGTACATTGTATACTCTATGTGGCAAGCCTCGGAGATTTACGGATGAAAACAACAGGCGGTGAAATATTTGATGTTACTAAGAAATGGTTGTCGATTTATGGTCATAAAAAGGGATTTAGTTTGACATTTATCTTTGTCTAACATACCTGTAAATTGACATGCGCCATTTAATTATATTACCAATAAATAATAACAAATAATATGCCAGAATTAAATACAAGTTTGCAGCAATAGATTGATATTAGATAGGCTTTGAAGATATCAATATTTTCTGCTGGCAAATTGCTTTATTTTTGTTTCAGCATCATGTTAAAAACATTAAATGTAATACAAGACCTTTGATCTCATGGGGAAAATATCAATTTAGAATTTACTTTCATACTTGATTCTTACTAAATACATGAAATACACGAAAAATGAATAGGTACACATAAATATTCACTAAGCCGTCCTTTGAAGGCTAGCGACCGTAATAATATAATAATATTATTTAATAATATAATATCTGACCCTTGAAACATGTATATGATGATTCTGGAATAGGATAGATAAACAGTACATAGGCCATGCATACTTCTTGGTAACTTATCATTTAGTAGCTCATTGAGCACTAGATGCAAAATATCTGACCTATGACACCGGTATAAAATTGATCCTTTAAAAGCAAGGAGAACAAAACAAATAATTGAACATCACAGTCTCGGTTTGATAGACAATGAATTTGCAAATTCTTTTTTGTCCGTTGCAGGGGCTTCTGAGTTCAGTATACAGAAGAATGTTTAAAACATCATTGAGATTTCATAAGAGGATAGTTTATACAACTGCTACACATGCATGTATTTTACAGAATACATGTACCGGTACCAGAAATGTGTTATGAGATCGCTACTTCTTGTCTGTCGCCTACCTCCAGATCCTCTACTAGATGTAAGAAACAGGCTTTTACCCAACTCCGACGGTCCATGTACTGGTAGAAATGTGTTTGGCTTGATCTCAGATCGGCGATACGAGTTCTTTAAAACCACTGGAGAAAGTTCTGAGACTTTCCTAGAACTTGTAAATATCATACCTCTTCCAAGTAAACATGATAACATTTTGTCTAAAAGAAATCGGGTTTTACTTGTTTTGATTTGGTTACGAACTTACCATTCTTACAGAGTACTGGCTGTTTGGTTTAACATTAGTGTTATCTCAAAATAAAACTTACTTACTAAGATCAACACATAAAAAAGATATTATGCATAAACGACCTAAAACAAATTATTGAAACGTACTTTTTATTATTCTAGTATGGAGTTATGGAACACTATTCCTTTAAAAATAAGAAATCTTTCAAGTCTTAAATTGTTTAAATCACATTTCAAACATTTATTATTATCTAGAGATGAATTATAGAAAATGTACCTATACTATAATATAATATTATGTCTGTCTTCTTTGTTGATTAAGATTTACTGAATGTTGTAATCTTTACAATTGCTTGAATATGTCCGTTGTTATGTTTATGTTTTATTGAAGGCCTTGTTGAAAATAAGATTTTGCATTATATGTGTTGTATCTAATGCTTTGATGTATTGTCTTAATAAGTTACCTTCGTTAAATAAAGAGTTTATTATTATTATTATTATAGTGTGACGAATGTACAAGAGGAGATAAAACGTGCACTTCCATTTTTTGATGCATCATTATCTGACTACATTCACTGTGGCCAGTTTGGCAATTTGCATGAATAGAATAATTTGCGTGGAAACTGGGCCAAGATTGATGCTGCTGTTGGGGCAATAGATGGTACTAGCCACGAAATTTATAAACCAACAGCGAACCAACAACAATATTATTCTGGTCATTATCACTGTTTACAGTCACAGGTCATAGTTGATAGTTTACGTTGAATCTGGGCACAGCAATTTGGCCTAATGCAACAAATTGGTAGAGAATTACAATTTCCTGATAGGTGACAAAATTTACCCAAACGGGTATCCCGTTCTTTCTCCATATTCCGCTGCACAGATTAGAAGAAAACATGGTGTAGAACGACGGCAGTCATTACGTTTTAATCGTTACGTAAAGCGTTATAGAGTTTTGGTGGAACACGCTATCGGAGAGATTAAATGTTACACAAGTCGTTTGCATTTTTCCTACTTTTCGTTTGCTTGGTATGGTTTTCAACAAAATCAAGGGAGATGAAGTTGATAAGCATTATTGATATGCCCCTTATGGTCAAATCAAACTACTTGTTTTCCTTTATCTTTAGAATTACTTGTTTCTATTCCAATCAGATAACCATGACACAAGGATACATTGAGTCTCCCTAACACCCAAGTTACAGCCATTGGACAAGAAGCTACAGCTGATTGGAGCAATTATTATTGTACCTGTAAAAAAGATGATTCTCACGGGTCACAGAAGTGATGTATTATGCTTGTATATTTCAGTCGTCGGTCATTATCCCAATTATGTAATGTCCCAATTCTTCACAAGTTGCTTTAATGCGGATGGGGGGGGGGGGGGGGGGGGGGGGGCATTGTTAGTGTTAAAATTGCCGTCCGGTCCAAAAATGCAAAAATTACACTCTGTAATGTTTTTAATCCAAAAAGGTCTTCCAGCTGAATTTATAGTTGAATACTTTATTCCCTTAGACTCACACAGGAGTATGTTAAGTGGAAGTGGGTGCTATATTTTACCCACAGTCAAATATGATGGTGCATAATCAATCTGCGAACATACAACCCTCTAACCGAATTTGTAAATTACTAATTTGTCAAACAAAAGTCATCGTCTAAATGTAAGTATCTATTGATTTTTATCCTCTTATTTTCATTTTCTTTCTAAAGTTCGTCCTTTTGCATTCCATTGTGTGCATCCTCTTCAATACCATCAGTACGAAAGGGCAAGAATCGAAATAACAGATTTAGTTTATTGCTTTGATTTATTCTCTGTATAAGGTAATTGATGTGGTTTCACTTCTCATATATGTTGTACTGTGTTATTGTTTTATCATGTATTAGATATCATTCACCATGTTTTTATATAATACTGAAATAGATTTATCGATATGAAATCATTTTAAATGATTTTACTATATAAATGTACAGTGATTGTTCTTCTGTAGTCTACCACTTTCGGTCTGAGCTTTTGGATATGCATTATGAATTTACAAATAAACCATCAACAAATGATTCAATAAATTAAAAAAATACTAGTGTACATTATGAAACTATAGAGAATTAACATACAAAATTGTAGTAGATAATAACAAACACAATCGTAATCAGTTATAAAAAAACATGATTCAGTCTTTTTCATAGCTAAGGTTGTTCATGAACATGAAGTATTCCTAATTTGTTTCATTCTAGCTCATCATTTGTTTGGAAAGGTACATTCGTTGTATGTCCATGCATTAACACACCTTGTCCATGTTGTTATATACTGTTAAAATATATCATTCTAACTCTAGAACTTTTAAGCTAGACAGTCACATATGATTTAAAATAATTCACCGTTCTTGTTTTAGCTTCCTCATAGCTATAAATGGGAATGTAGCCCAGTTTTTCAGTGGCTTTCTCATATCTAAATAGAAATATCCTCTCTAAAGCTTGAAAAGGGGGAATTCCCACGAAGAAATTGACTCTATGTACTATTGATATAACACTTAGTATAAAAAACAAAATGTACAATAAACTGACAATAAACCATACTGGAAACGATATTGCAATAGGTTTCAAACCTATTTCAGACACAATGCCTTCCATAAAAGACCAGATGCTAGTTCTCGGAGATCCATCAGCTATAAAGTATGCTTTCCCTGTCGATTCTTTGTCTACTTTGTCTTGATAGAGGTTGATTTCTGCACAAACGAATCCCCATGCAACGTTTCCAACATACACATGTTCAGAAAGTCCTTTTCCGCAATAAACTCGGACATAAGATCCAAACGTTTTTGCAAGGAATCCAGTCACCATAACACCTATTGACCTCCATTCTAATTCACCATACATAACAACTGGTCGTAACGAAATTGTCCCTAATTGTTTGCCTGGAAGAAAGTTTGATAGTCAAACAAATTTATAGCATTTAAATATTTACGACAAAGGTTTCGTCAGAGGTAAATGTGATTAATAACATTAACGTTCACCAACTGTTTGTAGTTCTGCTTAAGTTCACATGATCAATACTTTACTTGTTAAATTGCCTTTTTATTAGCAAACCTGATAACATTTGTTGCTCAGAGATTTATTATAAACTTATTTTGCTACAAAATATTACTTAAGATACAGTACATCTGAAGGACTTTTCTTCAGTTTTCAGTATCAACTCTCTTTCAATTTTCGTATCATTGAGAATAAAGTTAGCATAGAACTTAAATAGTCAAGTTAAGCATACTTACTGTTTGCTTCTAGCACAAGCCGTTCGGCTTCTGTTTTTGTTGCACCATACGGTTTGAAAAGCTGATCAGTTTCTATTTCTGTATTTTCTTCAGTACCGTCGTAAATGTTTCTTGACCCAGCCGCAACTTCTGCCGAACTACAGTATATAAGACGCTTCACTCCATTCTTTAAACATGCATCTATTACGTTTTCCGTTCCTTAAATAATAATTGATATACATGAAAGCATTAACAAATCAGATATTAAATATACAAAAGTATTAGTGAATATTAACACACTGAAATAGCTTTTGAAATTAACTGAATATAATATTTGACAATGATAACACACACATGCACACAGGAACACTAAATTTTTTTTTTCAGAAACTGTTTCGTCATCCTTTTAACCTCATCGACCGAGGGAAATAAATGCTCAGGATAATCATAAATGTGAAAGAGTTTTAAACAACGGTTGATGAAAAAAGACAGTGAGTACATACGCTCGATTGTTCTTTTGTTCAAAACTATATGTATTACAAGCTATAACAACTGGTGCATCAAGAAACGTTGTATAAACTATCAGACTATCGCAAGCGCATCAGCGCTTTGATTATCAAGTGTGTGAATAAGCAGCCGGTAGAAAGGTTTACTTTTGGCATTTCTTTAACAAGGAATCAGTTAGTTTTTCACTAATTATACAAGAGCCATGTCAACATGGCCATCCCCCGCCGAATGTGTTTGCTCATTGGAAGAATGTATATGTAGTAGAGCAGAATAATTCCATTTTAAGAGGTCTTTTGGTAATGAAAACTGATGGCTATAGTGATTACAGATTTGAAACCTATGTGAATACTGATGGCTGAAAATAACAAAGGGCAATAACTGAAAAATAATGCAGGGTACGTTATCATTCTTGTGTGCTGCATCCCTCCTCAGTAAAATCTATCCACCTATGAAGTTTCAAGTTGATACCTCAAATACTTTTTGACAAAAAAATTGAATTGAAAAATTAAGTACGAAAAATAATAATGGGCAATAACTCAAAAATTATAAAAGGTAGAGTTATCATTCTAGTGCACTGCACATCTCCTGAGTGAGATCTATGTACCTATGAAGTTTCATTATGATATCTCAAAGGCCTTTTGAGTTATGCTCTGGACAAAAATTAATTTTGAAAAATAAAAAAGGGCAATAACTATACAATTATGCATGGTAGAGTTATCTTTCTTGTGCACTGTACTCTTTCTCAATGAGATTCATCCACCTATGAAGTTTCAAGTTGATACCTCAAATACTTTTTGAGATAAGCTCCGAACAAAATAGTATGAAAAAGAACAAAGGGCAATAACTCAAAAATTGTACAGGAAAGAGTTATCATTCTTGTGCACAGCATTCCTCCTCAATAAAATCTATCCACCTATGACATTTCATGTTGACATCTCAAACACTTTTGAGTTATGCTCCACTCGGGTGAAAAATTAGGTATGAAAAATAACAAAGGGCAATAACTCAAAAATTATGAAAGGTAGATTTATCATTCTTATGCACTGCACACCTCCTGAGTGAGATCTATGCATCTATGAAGTTTCATTTTGATATCTCAAAGGCTTTTTGAGATAAGCTCTGGACAAAATAGCATGAAAAAGAACAAAGGACAATAACTCAAAAATTGTATAGGGAAAAGTTATCAATCTTGTGCACAACATTCCTCCTCAATAAAATCTATCCAACTATGACATTTCATGTTGATATCTCAAAAACTTTTTGAGTTTTGCTCCACTCAGGTGAAAAATTAAGTATGAAAAATAACAAAGGGCAATAACTCAAAAATTATGAAAGGTAGAGTTATCATTCTTGTGTACTGCACACCTCCTGAGTGAGATCTATGCACCTATGAAGTTTCATGTTGATATCTCAATACTTTTGAGATATGCTCTGGACAAAAATCATTTTGACTCAAGGGAAACATTGACGGACGAAGGCGGAGGAGGTCGGACGGACGGAGACTATTTCTATATCCCCCGCCGCCTTTTCGGCGGGGGATAATAAGCACCATGCATTATCAGCTTTCTGTAGGTATATTGTGTTTAATGTTTTTATAGATTCAAACACAAATTCTGAACACACTTCAAATTCCTTTTCAACAATTCATGTTTTTATTGTGTACATTATTACTGCTATTTTCTGTGTGTGTATATATATATATACTGTGTGTTCGAAGTAAACTAAATAGAAGCGAATCTGAACACTCTTGCTAGATTTGTATAATTCACCTTTTAAGCTTCAGAAATAGTTACATATTTTTCTTAAAAGCTTTTTTATTGTTGGTGTACTTTTATTGCTTACAAAAGGTTCAACATTGGCCAATTTTTCATTCTTTTACATTTTGGCAATTAGTACTCGTATTGTGATTTAATAATTTGAAAGTCAAAATACTGCATTGCTTACATTTTGCTACTTTAATGTCAAATGATTTCACATGAAGCATTACTTTCTTTAGATAACAAGCATCTGACATGCTCTAAAATAATTATTTAAACGTTACAAAGGTCATGATTTCACATTCTGAAGAAGTATATTTGATTGTTTATAAAGTATAACTGGCGGATGATGTTTTGTATTTGATTTACAAAGACTTTCGCTTTTTACAATTTTGAATATTTTTAAAGTGCAGCTTACATATGCTTACATGTGAAATCATGCTGTTATATGTTCAATAAAGAGTATAGACACGATGCTCAACAAATATTATTAAAATCTAATAGAACATTTTTGAGATATGACTCTTTGTATATTTAAAAATAAATGCATGTTCGCCTATCTCAATACTGATTGATTACATTAGAATATGCCATTTTTCGAATATGTGTCTCATTAAGGAAATAGTTCAGGTTGAGCGTGCTCAATATTTTTTAAGTGAAGCAGAGGTTATTTTGAGGAAATTCCAAATTGACTTGTGTTCCAAGCATTTGTCTATAGATTTCTTTACAAAATGGTTACTTTCTTTATACTTCACACTTTCAAGCTGGCTCCTGGGGTGATGATACTTACAAAAACAACGACGAAAGCAACGGCAAGAAATAGAAGAGACAATGATCCGACAAAAGCTATCCAATAAATCTAATAATTGTAAAATATCTTTATTGTAATGAGCTAACAACGGTAGGATTTCACTTGAAAACATATGTTGAGTTAATTTTAAAGTCAATCAGAGCCTGCAACATTTTTTCTTTTTGTAAATCAGATATATAACATCACCTTACATTAGAAATCTTACAAAATCGACAATCCATTGTAGTATTAAGCGGTGGTTGGGCAAGGTTGAGATAAGGTTGGTATGTTCTCCACATTCAAGCAAAAGTGTGCAAGATCGCTTTTATTTGTAGTTAGTTTGTTCGCCTTAAAGCAATATTTTCATATTTCCCCTTTTTGTTTTATCACATTCGAGTTAAACATTTATTCTTATTTATCTTATATATACATATTTTCAAATGATCCAATAGTAAAAAGTAAACGTGTAAATAAGTGAGCATGAAATTAACAACTACAAAACATTAAACACAGAATAATTATTGATAGAAATCTGGCAATGAGAGGCATACAGTGCGCTTATGATTACTGAAATACAAAACTTATTTAATATAAAAACTATCGGCATAGTTTACCTTTCTCCCGGTTCCCAGGGGGTGAATATCACTTTGTTTGTTCGCAATTGTAATCACTGATATTTCTTGTTCAACCCACTTGATTAATATCATCAACATTATTTTACCTACCTTCAACATTTATCCTGTAACTCTTTTCTTCGTCTGGAATAAGTGATGTATCCACTATACTTGCCACGTGCATTACACAGTCAACACCCTGACATGCTCTCATCACTAGGTCTTTGTCAGTCACGCTTCCGACATACTGCTTAACGGGTTTTCTTTCAACGTAATCTATAAGGTAGGCATGCGAATCAATTCTCTACATTTTTCTCTTTACCTTTATAAAAATATTTAAACATCCAGTATGGGTAGAAACATTTCAAAAGTGGTTTCGTATATGTTTAACAAGTGAATGAATATTGATGACATTGGTGAAACAACGACATAAAAATTTTTTTTTACATGTAGTGAAAAAATAAGAAGCAGAAATAAAATATGAGGGGAGGAAATAGTTTAGTCATTTTTATAATGTCAAGTTATCTTAACTGTTATGATTTAGAAAAATCATAGATATATAATTTACTCTTTGACTGAAAAACGTGTTTTAAGTTGTCACGAGTGTATTTAGATACTAGATAAAATGTCTATGCTTGCGGCTTATCAAAGGCTTGCAGAAATGTTGGCTCTGGACAATAAAAATAACGCCTGAGTGCACATGTGTTTGTTAAAAGTAATATCTAACGAGAAATTACTAGCACTATTACCTGAATACTTGAGTTGGAAGCATGTATCACAACAAAATTACAAGAAAATTGCAGACTTGATTTAATTGACTCTATAACTGAGGGATAATAAAAAAGGCAACATTCCTCATCCCCCCCTAGCACCGGCTTAAGCGGTACTTAGTTTTCAACCAGGAGAATATAAAAACTCTGAACTGACACTAGCCCAACAAATTGTGCGCTTTAGAGCTTTTTTTATATAGACGATGGTCGCCCTTCGGCGATATGGTAAAGACAGACATCTATGAAATATCAGATTATAAAATCGGTCTGTCTTGCCGTCGAAATATTGAGACTAAACTGACACCTGCTGTTGTGATGTAAATATCTGGAGAAATGGTGACACCAGTCTGTATGTTCAGTTATTTTATCATGCATTAAATATGGAAATTTAAATCCTAATTATAAGAAAAGCTTAACTTGTTCAAGAAAACGATGATGTTCAGATCGTTCGCAAGTGCAGAATTGGGGTGTATGGAATGTTGTACTTTCTCATTATCCCTCATGAACAAAACTCAATCAAACCGAGTCTGCAAATAAATTTCTTGTTATTTTGTTGTTTTCATTGTTTCCAGATTTTTATTCTTCACAAGAGCAGGTGTCATGTGCCGTGTGGCAGATATAAAAAAAAAGTTGCCCGTACTTCACATCAATGTGGGTTTATTTCTCTGGTCCTTCGGCATTATCGATTCCAGCACATTTAGTGTTGAAGATCAAATACTGCTTAAGCCGGTGTTTGAGGACTTAAGGGATCTTACATTTTTGTATAAATAATATCTCATGAACAGACTCAATCAAACCGAGTCAGCAATTTTCATATAATTTTGTTGTTTTCATTTTTTCCAAGGGATCACCCCTTCTCTTGATCGTTTGCTTATCATTACCCTTGACTTTAATAATAGTGATGAGGATGAGAACAATTTAATTAATCCTACATCACATTCCTGGCACGTGCATATTTTTTTCTTTTTCGAATGATACCCATGTTACATATTACATGAAATTTATATTTCATATGTTGTTAAGGAGAAAAAAGGAGGCTATTGACTATTAGAAATATAAGGAAATTTGTTAGAATATCTTACCAAGCTTATTTTCATATGGAATGACATCAAGAACTCTAATTTCAGTCACGTGATCTGCACGATCTTGGAGTAGTCCCACGATATGTTGTCCTAAAAATCCAGATCCCCCTGTTACCAGGACCACACAACCAGTAGCGGAATCCATTCGTCTTATATACACAGATTTGTGCAAAATATCATTAAATAACAAATAACTGAACTGTCCTTACGTCTGATAAAAAATTAAATCCCAACTTTTTGAACGTTGAACGTTACACGATAACTGGTGCATATCATGTATAATCAATTAAGTACATGCATATGATATCAATAACTAGGTCCCACATATAATTTTAAATAGACACAGTGATAACAAATATAACAAGAGTATTTGATAACCTCTTGACTATATCCAAATTCAGTTTCAATTTACACACGGAACACTGCACACTCAGGCACCAAAACTTGCAATCGGATTATCAATACATTGTACAATTTCCTCAACATATTGATTGGTTTTAGGTTTTTATTTCTAAACCTTTCCATACATCATTTCCAATAGTCGATATTTAAAGGTTGGGAGAATAAGTTTTCTAACGTGTCAGGTAAATAGATAATGAATAATGCAGTATAATCAATCAGGTTTTTCAACTTTCATATCTTAATCATTATTGGTCGTTAAAACTCAGTAAGTTTGCTAACTTGGTGGTGGTGTACTGCAGGTTGTTACTACTCCTGTTATCATGTTTCAACAAAATTATAAACATGATATTTTTGTAGATAACCACATCAATTCCTTTAGATTAAAATTTATTTCATTTGCTTACTTTACCGTGAATATGTGAATACAATGAATTACTGTAGCTATATGTCCTATGCTGTATTGGTGCAACATGAAACCCAATTAGAAATTGATTTAACTTTGAGTCTGTGGTAAGCGGTTGAGCTTCCCTTCGCGGCAATCAGACCAAAATCTTCACATATTTCTTTGTAAACTCGTCCTTACAGCTAAATTGTCCTTGCTAAATATGTTTGCCTTCATTTTACATGGATACATATTATAAGCGGTTTATTATTTTCGGCAAAATTAATAACAAAAATATACAAAATATTTACATTAGACTTTTTTAGTTCATTTGCTGATCAGATTTCATTGGCTAGATATGTAGATCAAATTGATTTAAAATAACTCAACAGAAAGAAAAAAAGAAACAAATGAATAAAATATTGACTTATGAATGTCATACACTGGTTATGTTAAGTTGTTAATAGCAAATGTGTCCAGCTTGGGATTTCGTTATGGGAAAATTTCAATTTAGAACTTTACGCTTAGACCGTTAAATGGATATTTCTACAGAAAACGTTTAATTTGAAAAGCAACAAAGTGATATTTTGAAAGTGATATTTTGAATGGTCATGTACCAACTGTTTTGTTTTCCACATTAATTAAGTACCATAAGGCATATATATGGCTTTGAAAAAAAAATTATCTTTAAATTTTTACGATATAGAACTAAATGTAAGGGGTCACGTGATCTCATATGTCACTCCCGCTCTAAAATTAAAACTCTTCACAACAGACATATTAATACCAATATTGTCATACATTAATTTTTGAATAAGATCTATTGAAGAAATACAGTTGAATCATGTATTTTATACTTGAATATTTAATCAGTAGAATATTTGAAACATACAAGAAGTCTTCCCGTTTTAAAACTGGTAATTATAACTAAACGTTGTCTGTCGTTTTATTTTTTTCACAAAAATGTAGATATGTTTTATGTTTTTTTATATTAATTACTTGCTATGAATTCATGTTTAGTGTTAAAAGTATATTTAAAAATATGTTTATCGTAACAGTAGGATAGTATGTCGCGGGAGTGACGTGATACGTTTTGGAAGTGACACTAAAGCAGCTAATAACTATAACAAACAAATTCACTCAATAACAGTGCTTTATTCACATACGCGCAACTTTCATAACTAAAATATTACCATCTCATATTAAAGCATGAGTGAATTGTCATTAAGGACAGAATAGAACGACAAGAACAATTTGAATAACAGCTATTCTAAACATAGTCAGAAATACAAAAAACTTTATGCTTCAAGAAATTTAGTTCAACACTTACAACCACCAACTTTACGCCAATTAAAAGAATGTCAAATATACTAAGGAGTTATAGAACAGATTTCAAAATGCGGTCATGCTCATTTTCATGTTCTGTCACAAATGTTTCAATTACAAATCCAAATGTCTCTGAATTTCCTCCCATACTGGTGTATCGATTTGAAAATGTCGGCTCCCAATCTTCTTTGGAGATGGGATTAACGTGACAAAGTTTCCCTGGAATACCATAAAACGTCTTGCATCATCGGCCAAAACAACCTATTTGACCCAATACAATGCATAACATTAACCTCCAATTCTTGGTCGTCGACGTCTTCGTAGGGCTTTCCCTCATATCCTACGACACAAAATTTGCCTATAAGGGATTCGTCAAGCTCTATGTGTTTAGCATCTGAAATATGAAAATACACTATTGATAGATTTGTTTTGTGAAACAAGACAAATTGAAACTGTTTTTATGTCTTTTCTAGCCTTTCTGTCTTAAATATAAAACCGTAATTTGATAAAGAATTGATACATTTACAGCGGAATTAATGATGTATTGTGATAATTATGTTTCATAGTATTCGTTATCTAATAAGGCTATAGTATAATTTATTATTATTATGTTGTTGTATATGTGAATAACATCAACACATTAGACACCCAAAACTTAAAATAAATCGTTTTAATACCATTGCCTTTATCTATAATGATAGAAAAATTTATGCGACAAATCTTATTTATTACTGAAAAATATAAACTCTGTTTAAAGTATACGTTTTTTCCTGCAACATAACATAAAAACAGAGTGAAAACATATATACGATCAATCATTTCAGTTTTCACGGTATACAAACCGAATTGCTTGAACATGTATATATACGTACTAGGTGCTTTTATAGGCTTAGACCATTAGATCTATATTGCCGACAGTGCTTAAAGGCAAAATAAAAGAGTTAAGAAATAATATCGGTCTTAGCGGTGTTTTTCGGCTATCTAACACCGGTTTGGAGTTTTATTACGTATGAATTGACCACGAAGGCCGTATAAACACCGCTAGGACCGATATTATTTTGATTCTAACACGATAAAATAAGGAAGATCACTTATCTTATTTTTTCAAGTGGAAATAACTTCCGGTGCCGATTTTCGTATAACGCTGTTCGATTTTCGTACCCTACTATTGCTAAGATATAGAAATTATTAAACAAAAAAAAAAGAAATAATAAGAAAAAGCGTTTTTTTTATCAAGTTTTCAACAATAAAAACTTTCGTTTTAGTATGGATTGTATTGTGTTTTCATCAGTGCCCCATTTATCATTCTTTTATGTATGAAATGACGTCAGCGTTTATGAATGAGTTGTATACGTAGGATGACGTCATTGAGCTGCTTACAGATTGGCGCCGTTTTGTCAATCTATTTATTAACTGACATGGATCAAATATGTGGCGCTAGTGTATGTGAGATTTCATTTCGGTAATGTAAGAAAAGAAAACATTATAAGAACTGAAACTATAAATAAAAATGCTTTTTATTGCTGCTTTAAAAGGCTTTGTAAACTATACAATCGAGGGTGAAAATAAAACAGCCGCATATACAAGTAGTCCCAACAGTGTTTATTGGCAGCGTAACACCGTTTTTTTTTCTTTGTCTATAGTGACACAATGACGTGGACTGTGAGAATTTAACGAATAACCACCCTGTCATATTTGCCATACCTTGAAATCCTATTAAATATGTAAAAAAAGTACATAGCTTTTGTTTGATATATAATATTATATTGACAAACAATAATTTATTGAACAAACACCTAAACATTGATATTACAACGTATCATAAATGTAAAACTAAATGTATCTTTATTCGTGTCACGTGATACACTTTACCACGGGATTATTCGTCCAGTGTAGGAATACAGATTTCCTGCACTTTCCTCGTTTAGTCCTTTGAGCACTTTGATTATTCCTCGAATACTTTCGTAAAGTCCTATCTCAGCATTTGGTCCACCCATGTCAGTACGAACCCGTCCTGGATGAATGCCTGTTACAAGAATACCTCTAGTGCCAAGTTCTATACTAAGATTCTTTGTCAACTGATTTAATGCGGCCTGTAAAGAAAGGATAATATACTTTATTTTGTACAATATTCTTTAAATAACAAACATCGTTATAATTCTCGATTTTATGTGAATCAAATATATCTATATGAGCCAAAATTTAAATATATGTGAATGTAACCGAACTTACTGAAAGAAACAAATTACTGCGAGGTAGTACTTTTTTTTTTAAAGTTAGTTTCTTTACAGAACTTTCAAAGAAAAAATATTTAAAAGGACAGGACTTTGAGAATCGTGTGCTTACTTCAAACTTTTATGTTCATTGGTGCAAAAACAACAAACAAACACAAATCCCTAAAAACAAACAAGCAAAACGAACGATTATTTAAAAAAACCACACACACACAACGTACTTTTGATTCCCTGTATTGATACGACCCGCCTGTCATATTTTCACCTACTGATCCCAGTTGACTAGATATGTTGATTATTGCGGCCCTCGACCAGGACATATCTCCAAACTGTCTATCAGCTGCCATTTGTAAAAGTGGCAAAAATGTCTGTAAATTGAAAACAAATTTATTTGTTTGAAAATTTATTCCTTAATTCAATATTCTGATGAATTGATGAGTCATTATTAAGAGATAAAGACACGTCATAGACGGGCCTGTAAGATGACAATCGGCCCATAAAATGAATAATGGTTCTGAGGGCTTCAGTCCGAGGGTATTATTCATTTCAGGGCCGATTATTACTTTCGTAACGTTTATTAGTAATTAATTAGTTAGTTAAATAAATCTAAATGAGTTGTTCATTTTTTTTTCTAATAAATTAATTAAATTTTTAATGAACTCTTGATTCATTTTTTATTAACAAAAAAAATCATGTTTTATTTTTTCATTATTATAAATATTTTGTTTTGAAAGTTGAACAATCAATATTCTTAGAACATAAAACAAACTTTCAGCTTTACTTTTTGTTTTTTTACTTGATAAAAAAATGACAGAATTGCAACGCAATGTGTAAATGTTTTTTGTGCGATATATTTGTTCGAGTTCAATCTGTCCTACAAACAATTCATGGCTGACATTCTAGTTTTTGTTGTTGTTTTTTTGTGTGTTTTTTTTCCCTTAATAATGAAAGAATCGTTAACATTTAAATGGATACTAAACAATTGCAAAAGATTTTCTTTTTTCTTTTACATTTTGTTTTTTGTCAGTAAACTGTAAACAAAGACAATTTGAATAAAAAGATCTGTATTTTAGTCTCCTAATGTTGTTTTTACGGTATGCAAATATTACAGTTCATTTAAATGGCGTTTTTATAATGAATATTGAAATATATGTACGTGACAAATTTTTAATTAAAAGACAACAAAAAAACTAATTCATTATGTATAATTTAACTGACATAAAATTAAAAAAACAACACAAAAAACACAAACTAATGGGTTATTAATGTAAGTGCTGTTAGGAATAAAATCAGAAAATTTACTTTACCTTTGAAACAACAGCAGGTCCGACAACATTTACATTGAGTGTTCGCAACATATCTTCAGCTTTTATTGAAGTAATAGATGCTTGTCTAAAGTTAATCGCAGCATTGTTGATTAAAACATTTAATCCTGATGACCCAACGAAACTCGCAATTTGGTCAAAGGCAGACGCTATGCTGGCCTCATCTTCAACGTCTAGCAAATATATTAAAAGCAATATTGCTTTCAATAAATGTAAGCACAAATAATAAAGAAAACGGATTCTTATATATGATATTTCAATTCTGTGTTGACCTTACTATTTTAAAGATATACTTTCTATACAGTCACTTTTTCGATATAAAATAAGCATCTTTTGACATAGAAGATAATTATATTTTGTTTTAAACTCTACACACTTTAGGTAAACACGTATAATGTCATCAAATAGTTTTTTTTTAAAGAAAAGACCAAATAAATTTGACCAGTTATAGGAAACGCAGCTTCGCAGCTTCCCAAACATAGTTTGTGCATACTCCACGGATTTATATTGTAATATAAATCCGTGATACTCCTAGTATTCAAATTTTGCATATTCAATAAGAATCCCATGAGTTCAGTAAAATAAATTACTGCATTAAAGGTTTTTTACCCAAAGATGAGCATAGTTTAAGTATATCTTTAAAGCACTTGCAAATAAACATTATCATAAAGGCAAAAGAAATCCGTATTTCTGGAGATCATCGCTGCTGTTATTGATATTAATTTCACATACATTGTATTTGTATAAACATTCTGCAGACAATATGTTTAAAAAAAAGACAAAATTGTATATGAATGAAAATTTGATGACTTTGACATAATTAATTTATTCCATGTAACAAAAGTAAAAACATATAAATTGGAAAATTACTCTGTCATACATTTACATTTTTAATGACGGAGTCTATGACAAATTCATTTAAAATGAATAATTTATAATATATTGTCAACTTGTTAGAAATTGGTTGCAAGTGGTGAAAAAAGGTGAATCATTCATATTCGAAAAAAAAAGACTTTCATTTATGACTACATATAACGGCCTTCTATTTTCAGTATTTACAAATAAGCTTCAATTGTTCAGATAATCTGTTAGTCACTAACTCACTTAAACTAAAAAGCACAATGCTAACTTATGTTGTTAACCTTTTTTTAATGGTCGAAAACTATTAAATAGTTGCCCCATCTTTTGTCGATTTCTGTGAAACTTCAACTTAATTTGTTGACGTTTTTGAATTATTTAGCATGTTTTAATTTTAACATCTCTTCAACTGTATTCACATATATCTTACATTAAAGATATTTGCCATAAGGCAGAAATGATGATTTTTAAATGACAATGTAGAATTATCGTTTTTGTAGAAAAACAAAATCAACGTCATAGATACAAAAACGATTCTCCGAATGCGTATATATCTTTTTGTAATTACTAATTGATTTTGCAGGACCATACACAGTTTGTAACTGTAGATAACATTGTAGAATTCTAAAATGTTTTTTTTACGAAATTTCATATTTTAAGTTACATTTGTATTCAATTTGTTACACTGTTCTTTTACCAAATATGTACCATCATCATGTCAGATCATTTGTTACGTAATCTAAACTTACAATGGTTTATGCATATTGGGTTCATTTTTTTGTGTTCTTTCTTTTTTTGTCTCACTCATCAGTATAAATATTTTCAATAGTCAATCCATTTAAGTATTTGACATAGCTCAGTATATGGTGGTTAGATAAATCAGTTTCTTTCGTCAAAAATTGGCAAAATTACTCGCCTTATCTAATAAATACCATGCATTGAAAAAGTATTCAATAGGCATTAAGTTGCTTCCAGTTTAAGCCTTTTATAAATTGGTTGTAAATGTCATGTAAAATATGTTTTGTATATTTATGACGAATAAACTGTGTGCAAACTAGTAACATGTATATTAATTCTTGATCTAGAAATTCTTTTAAGCTGCGTCTTTACAGTTCATCGCCTTCAGTGCGACAAAGATTAGATTATGACATATTGGTGTTGTTCTAAAGATGTTATATTTATTATGATGTCTTACTTTTGAAATAATTGAAACGGTTGTTTTTAAAAGGGTTATTGCTCTATGCATGACCGCTTTGCAGAGGTCCTACTGTTTAACATAATCTAGAAAATTGACCTATGATTCTTACAAATTGTGCTTTTTTACAGTTCGACTTCTATAAGTTTTAGTCGAATGGGCATCATCTCCAATTCCAGATTGTTTTTGAAATTACATACACAAAATGCCACTAGAGCATTAACTTATGAATATAACATTTTTGTCATTTAGGTGTTCGTTCTGTCAAAGATCCATTAAATCTAAAAGATCTTATCATATTTATTTCTCAAAGCTATGTACTTTTAGTACTGTTTTGCAGTTTCCAGAAACGTTACTCATTTGGCATATTCTAAGAATTGAACCATCCTATGCTTTTTGACCATAACAATAAAAATAATGAAAGTAAGTATTCTGTAGGAAAGGCAAAATACCAGTTCGATTACATTTTTTAAATTACGACTTATCTCTGTTATCTACGCTTCGAAAGCTTCCAACATAATCAAATCATCATTGAACCAATATCAAACTCTGGTTTGTCCTTCCTTCTCAGCCTTCATTTGCTTTTAAAGTATTTTTTACTATGCATTTTCTAGGTACATGAATGAGTCTCGGGACACAAAAAAGAAATCAACTTCAAGGATCAGATAAAAAAAGACATTGGCATTTATACAGATGTTGATTGTTTATTTTTTACTCGTAAAGAGTTCTTTCAAAAGAAATTACATTTATTGTACTGCCATTTCATATGTAACTTTTAAACAGAACTTCACTGATTCTATTGAAATTTATTGAATATAGAAGATGTATGTTAATTAAATTTTATGTCGTTAATTACGTTTGTTTTCTTCTTTCAGTTCTATTTTCAAGTTATTATTAATTGTATATGTTTTTTGTTGTAAACATAATATTGTTAAAGACCAAATATTAAATTATACTTACCCATACGGATGACTTTCACACATTTGTACATTTCTTCTAAGTTTATTAAATCCTGATACAAATGAAAGAATGAAAAATTCTTCACGTGCCATAGTAATAATAAATAATAATGATAATATGCGCCAATGAAACTATTTATACTCGTCTATTATCTAAATGATATTGTACAAAGTCGGATAGATTTTCAATCGTAATATCTTTAGTTTTACCTGGATCTTTCAAGTTCAAGTTAATATTACTTTAATTTTATTTTTGTTGAGTTTTACGTCGCACCAACACAGAATAGGACATATGGTGACTTTCCAGCTTTAGTGTTGAAGGAAGATCCCGTGTGCCCTTCCCTGAGTAGAACCACTGATGTTTCGTAAGCTAGCTGGATAGTTTTCTCGCATGAAAGAATCCAAAGTCCCTCCGGGATTAAAATCGGGGAGAGGCAATTCGTGTGGAGTCAAGTTTATTCAAAGTGCGTAGAATCTTTGTTTTAGTGACATTATGCTCATTTTATTTCGCTTCAAGTATCATATTACAAGAGATTGGCTAATATTTTGGTAATTGAACACTTATTGGTGATGAAAAATGTTAATGATACAATATAAAAATAACAAACTGTAACAATACTGCCGCACTCTTTTTAAGAATTGAAAGTTTACCTATACAATTTTAACAGTATCTATAGAAATCCCCATTGGTCTTAAGAATTCCTGGGTATTTTTTCATGATAACATATAAAATATAACACAGTTATGACAATATGTCAAGTTATTTTTATTTGTTCACTTACCATTTGAAACTGGATAAGCATAATACCACTTTAAGTAAGACATAAAATATTTAAATGAAACAATGTAAAAATTCATACAAAAATTATTAATTATATTTATTTATTTATAGTGACATTTAGTTCAGACCTGTGAAGTTTCTGGATCCCTGCAAGCTGCGAAGATCAGTTTTGAAGAAAGATTCATCCCTGCCAGTTGCCGAACTAATTCAAGTCCTATTCCTCGATTACTCCCGGTTATAAGA